CCCTGGTAGAACGACGCAGAAAGCTGCGCCTGAAGCTTTTTCCATTCCATTTACTATGGTACGATTAACATACAGAGAGACATATATATAATACCGCCTAACTATAGGTCCCAACGCGTGGACCATGAGCGAAAAGTAAGAGAGGTTCTATGCCGCACGGAACTTTTTAAGAAATCTTTCTTTCCAAAAACAATCCACTGACTGGAATAGGTTACCTGCTGACATCGTCAACGTAGTTTCGAATGAGATGTTTTTTGCCCTGCTGAAATGATTGTTTCTTTGATCTTTTTAGGACGTACTGTATGTATTACTGTTCTTATCTTTTGTTCTTCTTTCTTTTGTCCTCACACTATATGCAGAAGGGAATTGTGGCTATACTCCGGTATCAAATCACTTATTTTTCCTGTTGAAGTGACTCAACCTTGTAGTGTTCTTGTTTCTCACATATACTGCATACTGCTGTGAATAACTTATGTTGTCGATCTGCTGTAGCTGTTGTTGTTGCTATTACCGTTTTCCACGCTTTATATATGACAAAATATTGAACTGTCCAGACTGACTGTAAACCCCTCCCCCACTGTAATGCCTCTGGCGCTGTGGGTACTAAATAAATAAATAAATAAATAAATAAATAAATCTGCTCATGATGATGCCCCTTGTGCAGCTATACCATTATCAAGAACAGACGCTGCTGCAAGGCTTCGATCACTTGCACGAGAACTGACACTCGCTCAGTGGAATTCACCGGCATTCACCAACGTCCGCCTTAATAATTTGGACCCACACCTACAGCTCCGTCTTTCATCAGGAATAACCAGAGCTGAGGAGATACTTTTGTGCCGTCTGTGGATTGGGGTGGCCTTTACGAATGCTTATTCGTTTAGCATCGGAATGGCCAGCAGCCCGACATGTGACAGCTGTGGCTGCGCAGAGACTTTCTCCCATCTTCTCTGCGAGTGTCCTCGCTTCAGTGCGCCAAGAAAAGAACTATCGAAAGTTTTAGGTAGACTAGACAATCGCCAATTGTCGGAAGAAAGGGTATTAGGACACTGGCCGAGACCGTCCTCTGCACGCAAGGCATCAAGAGCGTTGTTGCGCTTTCTGCGGGCAAGTGGTCTAAGAGACAGACTGTAAGCAGCATCGTGGATCGTCTGATGACCTTCTCTCTTTTTTTCAACGTCTCTTTTCTCTCATCTTTTATCCCCCTTAACCCCTTCCCCTGTACAGGGTAGCCAGCCGGTCTGAGAACTGTCTAACCTCCCTGTCCTTCCTCTTTCAATTCTCCTCCTCCTCCTCTCGGAACAGCTTGCATCACACAGAAAAAAAAAACAACGCACGTCGCTGGCTACATTCTGGAGCAGCGTGTGCAAACAGGCCGAAGCTCAGTTTGAAGCGTCTTGGCCACTTCACAAAAAAAAATGTGGCACTCTTCACAGACGAGTTGTCCATGGCAACAAATTACAATTGGATACGAAGTAAAAGCAGCGCCTCCATCTTCTGGATTCCCTCTCGTGTAACAGAGGCAGACGCACATTTCATAGAACACTATAGAGCTCCAAAGACAGAAGCAGTTTTTGTGCTGCCAGACCCCAACAAGCGAAAGCTCTGTTTTCTATTAGACTTTCGCAACTTCTATTCTTTTGTCAACTGAACCTTTGCGATATGACAGTATTGTAACACAAGACAACATCGTCTACATCTCATACCGCATTGGACCTCGTTCTAGTGATGCAAGTTTGAAAAACCATGGCAGGCCACACAGGAGCCGCCTGAACAAGAAACTTCTTCGGTGTGTTTAGGTTTGTTGGTTGTTTTAAGCAAAAACAAGGGGAGTGCAGTGTAAAAAAATTACTGTTAGTTGAGAATAACTTGCTTGTCTTCTGGCAACCTACCTGTGTCGAGTAATTTTCAGTCGGAACCTCCGCAACAAAGTTTATACTATGGCTGGGCGTCGTACTTCCGTGGCATCTCCGAAGTATTTTATTCTCCTTAGGCGGTGGGTCGTTCCTTCCTCCGTATTCAGTATGCAGCCTCCTCCAGACAATTACTTTATCAATAGATGGTGTTGTGTGTATATGTCCTTGGGAAAAATATAACAAGATGACGTTAATGGTTTTCACAACATATACATGGAGTGAATGATGATGAGTGGGGCGTAGCATCTGTCCGGCCGTCCGTAGGTCCAACCATCTGTGTGTTTGGACGGACGGATAGTAGCATGGACGGACGAACAGCACATGCGCAAGCACGCACGTACACAAGTACGAACGGACAGACAGACGGACGAACGCGCGGACGGAAGTACGGATGGACAAACAGCTGGACGGACGGACAGAAGCATCGACGGATGGACGGATGGACAGAAGCACGGATGGCCAAAACGACGGAAGTAAGGACAGATGGATGCACGCACAGACGGACGGACCTACAGACAGATGGAGGTAAATATGCACGTACAGATAGACGGGTGGACGTACGGACGGACCCGGGATGGTCTCACGGACGGGTGGACAGAAGCACGCATGCGTGGACGGCCAGATGCGCAAACGGGCGAACGGACGGACGCATGAATGGCCGGATGGACGGAAGGGCAAGCGGACGGAGGGACGCACGGACGGCTGTACACAAGGATGGACGGACAGAATCATGGGACGCATGGATGGATGGATGAATGGACGGGTGAACGGACGGGCGCTCGGACGCTTCTCCACAATCATCGTTCAGTCCGTGTATATGCTGTGAAAACCATTAACGCCGTCTTGTTATAACTTTTTTTTTTCACTTTTCGTGAAGGCTATCCGGAAATTTTGCGTTTTACCTTTAGTGTATTGTACGGATATCGTTACTTCGTCCAGTTGGGTTGTGAGCTAAATCAACAGTATCTTTAGAGGTGAAGCTCCTTAAAGCGGCACCTGTCCGTCCCTCGTAGTGTCGTAGGCGTAGTGTGTAACCAGTATAACGTTTTGAACTGCAAGGTGGTGCCGGTGATTTCTCCTGTGCGTTGTTGAACAATGAAAAATTCGCAGCGTGCGCGTTAACTAAAAGCCGAATTCTCCTGTCTCTCATTCTCCATTAGCGGCCATTGGCATGTACATTGAGCACTATCTGACAAGAAAGAGTTGCTACGTTATACTTGCTGGGCGTAACCTCCTTGGTTTTAGAAAGGTTTAGCGAGCATTGAACCGCAGTGGCACGAATACAGTGAACTAGTATATACCATGAACTCGAGGTGGTTAAAGATGGAAAGGAGATACGAAGCGCAAGCCGTAAGAAAGTAAAGTCCGAAATCTCCTGCCTCTCATTCCCCATTAGCAGCCATTGGCGTGTACATTGAGCACTATCTGACGAGAAAGGGTTACTACGTTATACTCGCTGGGCGTAACCTCCTTGGTTTCAGAAAGGTTCAGCGAGCATTGGACCGCAGTGCCATGAATATAGTGAACTAGTACGTACCATAAACTCGAGGTGGTTAAAAATGGGAAGTTGACACGAAGCGCAAGCCGTAAGAAAGTGTGCGTGTGCCACCTCTCGTTTAGTCCTTGGACGGGCCCCGCCACCATGGTCAAGTGGCTAAGATACTCGGCTGCTGACCCGCAGGTCACGGTTTTGAATCCCGGCTGCCACGGCTGCATTTCCAATGGAGGCGGAAATGTTGTAGGCCCGTTTGCTCAAATTTGGGTCCATGTTAAAGAACCCCAGGTGGTCGAAAATTCCGGAGCCTTCCACTACGGCGTCTCTCATAATCACATGGTGATTTTGGGACGTTAAACCCTACATATAAATCAAATTAGTCCTTGGATGTCCGCTGGATGGCGCTGCTTCTACATGGGGAATATATGTTGAAAAGATGCGAGATGGTGGTACTTGGAGTGTTGAATAGGTGGACGAATCGACACACAGGCATGGATGGATGGACGCATGAACGGACGCAGGGGCGGATGCATGGACGAACGCAGGGTACGGACGCACGAACAGACGCACGCGCGGACGGGCGGATGGACGCATGGAGGGACGAAAACAAGAACGAATGGACGGACGAATGCTTCGCCCCACTCTCCATAATTCACTCCCTGGATATGCTGCCATTTTTTTTTATTCAGCGGCCGTGTGCATACACATCAACACGTGCGCGTGATGTTTCCGAGCCTGCACGTTCCTGTACGCCATTGATGCTGTGCCATTCTGGCGTTATCGGTAGTAGATACCTGTTTCTGTGGAATGGATAACTCAGTGCGTGCTAGTTGGCTAGTTTCAAAAGGCTGACGCGGATCACGTGTCCTTACTACGACACACCGCGTCGGAACACTCGAACTGCTCTCATAGAAGACGCAACAAAATCATGCCAAGCATTGTCAGCGCTGGCGCCGGCACCATGCAGGAACGGTAAAGAGACGAACGCGTGCGAAACGTAGGGCGAATATTGTATAGCATCTCGCTGCGATTCTTAATAAAAAAGAAGAATGCGGTCACAATCCGCTTGTGTGTTTTTATTCTTTCTCTGATTTCATTCATCTGCTAAACTACACATTAAACAAATTAGATGTGTCACCTCGAATAATTATCGCGTAATAACACGTAGTACATTATAAATAACGACACGATCATCTTTTCTCCGCGCACAAAACAACAACGCTGCGACGCTTATAATCTAAACGTATCAAAGTTCCGAGTGGACATTACAAAGCCGATACGAAAGTCGAGCAGTGGGTGAATGTGCGCATGTCCAGTGCCTGCTCAGAAGCTATCTGATTCGTCGATGTGTACACCTGCATGACTGGATGACAAAGACGACGCAAAATCCAAAGTAAAAACCACCGTCGAAGCCACGGCTTGCGTGGCCAGAGTCGGGTGCTTCTGGACTACAGGCAACACTGCATAAGCTAGACAACAAAGCAGAACCCAAAGTAAAGTCCATTGTCGGCCAAGGCAATTCCAAAATCCAAAGTGCGATCCATTGTCGAAACCTCCGATTGTGTGGCCCACGACGTGTGCCATTTCGGCTACAAGCGCGGACAGTTCTCCTTCGGGTAGAGCGTGTGTACGTGTTGGCAGGCGAACGCATCTCGGAAGCCGTCGCTGTGCAACAGGGGATACATGCAGGCAAGTCTCACGTTCAGGCTCTCTCGCGCGTGCGTGTTCTTGTTGGCGTCGCTGTCGCAAAGCGCCTGGCAGAAGCGCGCGAAAAACAGCTGCTTGTTGCCGGTGTCCGTAATGTCGGCCATGTTGTAAGAGATCTCCAGGCCGCGGCTATACGTCATCAAGTACTCCAGCACTTCCAAGGGTGGCGTCGCGTCAGTCGAGAAATTGCCCGAGGTCAGGAAATCCTTGGAGAGCTGGCGGTACTCGGACAGGTAGCAGCTGCACAAAGCGAAGCATTCAAAATAAAAGAATGAATCAATGAAAAAAAATTTGGCCACCTTGAACTAACAGCGCAGCTTGTGTTCGACCTAGGTTAGTGAAAAAGTCCGAAATAACGTCTTGCAACTTAACGTTAATTAGCACTATCCTAATTGGAAAGGTTCAGAGATAGTAATTGATCCAGCCTTAATTAGAGGTTTCCATTAACCTGGTCTTTATTAGAATGACCTTAATTTGCAAGGTCCTCCCTATTTGTTTCTATCGATTTCATTCGATCCTATTTGTTGTTTTCGCGTGTCAATTTTGTCTTATTCAGAAGGCGGACGCATTAAGAAAACGCCTACATTTCACAAACACCAGTGTCAAACTCAATCGATGCCGTTTTCACAGGTCTTATTGCCCGCCAAATTATCAGGTGACAAAGAAGAAAAGAAGATTTGTCTTTATATCTCAATCGTAAGATAAAGAAGAGAAACAGAGGAGTGCGTGGCGACCGAGTTATTGTGTTGCACGCGCTATAGGCTCAGCTTTGTTTACTGTACACGCGAAACGGCACAATAAAAAGCTCAGACAGCTCTACCACCGACACGTAAACCAAGTCACGTAAACAGCTCAGCGCGAATGTCACATAATTTACACATAGCGATAAACTGTTCTAGGTCTGTTTCAGCCACCATGACAGTGTTGCCATACGACACGGTCTGGAGCCAGCGCAGACGGGTCATGCATGCCCTAGTTGATGTAGATGGCCCGTACGGCAGTGTATCTTCAATCCTGTCGATCCTGTGCTCATATTCAAAAATAGAAAGAACTAGTGCTACTTTTTAGCTTTGAGACATTATAGTAAACACAGCAGATACTACCCTCGTAGTAACTGGTGGTACTAACTGAAGGTAGTGATTGTCAAGTTATTGCCTTTACTACCATCACACTCATCTACAGGCGTGTAGTAATACGAAGAGCGACTCTGACAAGCTCAAATAAAACAGAAAGCGAGGCCCTTTGCTGTTATGTACTCACGTAATTACAGTAATAAATACGACAGGTGCCGACGGAAGGGCGCCTTTGGTGTGTTCGGCCTGTGTGTTCGATATAAAAGGAGAGCACAAAACAAATTCTACTTCTATCTTTCTGCAGATGAAAACAAGTTTTGCGTCTAACCGAAAATTTTTTCGGAGGTACAACCAGAGGATGAACGACTCAAACCAAGCCATAGAAAATGAGCGCCAGTTAGAATTTCAAAGAACGCGCACGCACATAGTGGTATCCAAGCATCCTATAATCCGGCGGAACGAACTGCGGTTGATGTAGATATTAGGATTCATTGTCGTTCACGAGTTCTTGCAAATAAAAGGTTGGCAGATCTCCTGTACAGAGGGAATCGAATATATGCGAAGCATGAATGAGAAAGGTTGATATGATTTTTAAGTTTGACTTGTCACTCATGCTCGTAGTACAGTCATGTTATACCATACCAATATTGGTGAATAGATCCAAATATCGAAGCGGCCACGAGTTGAGAACATCGTAGGTGGATAGATAGATAGATAGATATTGATACGGTCAAAGTCGCCGAATTTCGATAAGAAATGCTTTTCCTTTAAAAATCTGACTGAACTGTAGTTTTCTTTGGTTCATTTCTGTTTACGTATCTCTTATTCAGTGAATTTTAAAACAGGCTAAACAGGCGAGCTCGTTAACTTGTGTTCGTGGCTTGGTTCGTAGCGCTTGCCTCCGCTCACCCTTACCACTTGCTCAGTGAAACCCCAAAATTCGATCGCACTCGGTTATCTCGTTCCCTTGGCGTGCCAAGTATGAACGCGGGAAAGATAAAGCATTCCATGTGGCGTGCGTCGAACGGAAGGCGCAGTAAGCTACACCGAGCGGTTCAACTGTGCACTGTAGACGAAGATGGCTAAATCGAGGCATCACATGCATGACGGCTCTGTGGTGTGTTAATCGAGGAATTTTAGGTTCCACGGAGGTTTCTCAAATTTCCCAGCGACAACGCGTGAGCACGAGTATTTGGGTCCATCATTTCAGCCGGCACTCATTTTCATGAGGACAGCGTTCGTGCAGTCTGTTTCTTTGCTCGTATCATCTAATTCGCGCTTTTCTTACCTTTTCGATTACATGAGTACACAACATTAACTGAACTGACATAAACAACTGAGTGTTGCTAGACTAATCCATCATGACGACAGCTTATTGCTTCCGGCAAAATGTGTTAATTCAGAAGCTTGAACACGTGTTGGTTTGGCGACAGAGTAGGGTCATATATATATATATATATATATATATATAGGCGCCCTCTTCTTCATAAATATGCATGTAGCCAACACAGGAGCACATTATTCTAAGTTAGCGCTTTGTACTGTAGTGTCGGTCTACTCAGCTGTTTCTTCCATCTGGTAACCTGCTACGTGACGCAAGTACACTCTAAAAAAAGAGCGAGTAAAAAGGGTGTCTTTTTGTCATATAAATCGTCATTTATATTGCGTTCCATCCTTGCGCTATCGCCCCGCGCCCGGTACATTCCGGTCACGATCGACATGCCCATTATCATGGTTACATTGCATTCTTGATAGGAAAGTGGCCAGCGCCGAGTACTCAAGAAAGGAAGCGCACGCAAGCCTGATGACGATTATTGTTGTGGGACCAAAAGACACCCTTTTTACTCGATATTTTTTTAGAGTGTAGGCAAAAAAAAAAAGATTTCCCACATTCGCTATATTGGCAACAGGTAGCGCTGACTGAGTTCCCCACGCTTAAACGCACGTATATATCTTACAAAGTGGTCGGGGGATAGCAGTCGTTGTAGCTCAGTTTGTAGAGCATCGAATGCGTTATTCGAAGGCCGTGGTTTCGGTCCCTGCCCACGGCAAGTTAGGTTTTCGTCCACTTGTATTTCTTCACAATTGCATTGCAATTGCTTCCAGTAATATCCCCTATCCTCCTCGATGCCAAGAATACACTAATAAAAAATATATTTGCGCAATTGCATTATTTGGCTTCCACCTATTAAAAACAAACGCAGAAAATTATGAACCAAAAGAATTGAACGGTTGTCTCAAAATGTGATGGTACCATTTGGGTACTCCTGAACTTTTAAAGTCTCCCTGATTGCGTGCAACAGAGGAATCCGACCATAATGACTTTCATTATGATCTTCAGGGCGTCCACAGTTACTTAATGTACTATAGACGTAGTCGCTTGCGCTACGACCAAGAAAAATGATGACCCCGCCGAGCGTTCGTGCAGTACTCGATCAGCTTCGTTCACTCGTTTTCCAATCACGAGTTGACACACGATGCCATCTCTCGGGGCTTAGTGAAAGCAACTTACGTTTGTTGTTAAAATCAATTTTGGATACACGGATATCAAAGTGTGGCGATCTGTGGCCTTAAAACAACGGTACCCAATCGGGCACCTTGGGACCGTGGAGGATATATACTTAGCATCATTATCTGCCCTCATTAATATTATCTGACGAAAAAAAAAACGAGCCCTTAAACATACTTCTTTCCTTTATACCATTTCAGGTACTGCGAACCAACTCGCCCAATTGTCGACAGTTGGGTTTCGGATATGATCACACAAACTGTTCAAACAAGTTCGGCACAGCAACGCCGGGTAATCTCACGCACATAGGAGGCCGGGGTATACCAAGGTATCCGCGCTGACCTCCTCTAAGCAGCGTAACCGACCTCTGGGTCAGTCCCTTCTTGTGGGAGCAATGAAGTTTTGATCATGATCATCATCACGTGCGAAAACAGAACTGCTTTGTCAAAGGAATTTTTTTCCCGCCGTAATGTCACTTCGCCTTTCGGTCTGCTTAAGTTTTTCTTTGCCACAAGCATACACGTAAAGATTGCCTCATTTGTTTTTTTTTTGTTCTTGTTTTTTTGTATATACATTTTCACGAGCCAGCTAGCCAATTTATTAGGATCGATTTTGACGAGATAGCGTTAGAGTGCTCCTATCACAGAAATTCTGGCGTTCGTGTCAGCGTCTGCACCGTTTGTTGGGAGTGAAAAAAAAATATCATCTTGTGAGTGACCGAAAAATCAGGAAAGATGCCAATCAATCCCTCGTACAATAACTGAATGGAATTTCGTAATCAAATCGACACCAAAATACTGATTTTAATTAGTTTGTATAGCGTTTCGCCAAATGTATTGACTCTATTTCTGTATTAGCGTTGTTGTTTCATTTATTCTTTTGTTTTCGACATGTTCACTGTTGTACCATTGTATTTGCCCTCCCTGCTTGGACTACGTGTCCGCAGTAATTGATAAATAATAAGTAGGAAAAATTTTTGGGTCCGTGTGAAGACCGAATCCAAGCCGTCAGGGTGTTAGCGTGACAAACAAGTGTATCTATCCCAGAGCCACGCATCTGGTTAGGAACGCACTTAACACAACTGCCACGGCAAAGTTCCATTACTTCCATTCATGACACCGTTACCATAACACAGTATGCTGTGAAAAGGTTTATGCTTTCCAAACGGGCGCGTCCTACCCACAGGCTTCGCAAGGCAACGTGTAATACCACAGTGATTATGATAACGACTTACGAATTTCAAGCCGGCCACCCATTACGGCAGGCACGCACGTTTACTGCGTGCATTCCCTCAAGAGCACGTAGTAGGCGCGCAGTGAGTTCGAAAAACATTTCACGCGCGAAACTGCTCGCTACCAATTACACCGAATGCAGTCATCTGCAAAAAGCTTCACTGAGACGAGCCGCTTTCAGCTTTATTCTGTTGTAGTAATCTAACATTTAAACTTCTCGGGTACCATCATAAAATAAAAAATATGCTTTAAGTGGCTGAAGTGCGGCCTAGGGACAGGATATCGCTACCGAGTTCAACACTTACAGGCGAAGCTTGAGCATCCGTCAATTTTTATATCTCGCGTTACAACTAATGTCGCATATAACGGACTATTTTATGGTGTCCATGCAGCTCTGACCTGACGGCCCAACGGGCATTGGTCGAGCGGGCCCATGCCGTGGCCGACGTCACTGAGCTCAAAGAGCCCTGTTCGGGGTGGCTTTCCACCCTCTCAGCACACAACTTCTGTAAATAAACGCTTTTTTTTTCAATCAAGTCAGCCATGCTGCTGTTATAACGAGATTCGACCGTACGCTTTAGGTTTTGTGCCATGATGGCAAAATACATTTGTTCTCCGAAGCCAGTACGCGTCCCCGTTCTCCCTAAATACGTCCCCTCCCTCACCCTCCCGCCTCCTAAACACAGATGCACACATTGCCTCCCTATTCAAATTACATTTTAAACTACACTAGAGGGCAGTGACACCAATTTCGAAGCCGGATTTAGCCTTTCATTCAAGTACGCATGTGAAGAAGCGTGAAGATCGGTACGTGGAGATATTTTGTTTCTATGAAGTAAATTTTATCATGGCACACCTACTGTCATCGGCGCTAGCATGACGCCAAGTGGCAGTGTTCTATTCGGGTGACTTCACGCACAGGTATGCTGACGTAAGGTGTCAAAACATACAAAACGACTGCTTGCCCTTTATCAAAGGCATTAAAAGTGGCCGCTTGTGCTTTCCCGATGGAGCCACACAGTATAGCCGCCGCGGAAACGCTACGATATTCTATGCGAGCACGTGAAAGAGAAGCTTATACCGTGTCGTGAAGTCGGGGTACAGTGGGAGGTGAAACCAACGCTTAAAAGCAGTTTGAAATGACCATTTTGAATGAGTGTCCACTCATCGAGTATATTTTCTAGGCTCTCGAAGACCGGGGCTTTAATATGATGCAAAAAAAAAGCGAAATCTATAACTGAAGTTTTTCGTGTCAGAACCACTTCATACTTGCCACTTGCCTGTACCTCTTGCATGTACCTCTTGCCTGTAGCCGTTGTCAGAATACTCACCGCAGGCGTTTGTCATAGCTAGTGTTGACCCGTTCGGGCCACCAGTCTATCTGCAGGCCGCCAGCCGCGTACTTGGAACCGGAGGGCGCGAATGCGACGGAAACCATTTCGGCGGCCAGCGTGCTACCTAAGTACGACAGGTTGACGAACTTCTCCTTCACCTGCGATTCAACCCGCGACGGAAACATGATATTCTATCGCGAGAACTTGTTGAACGCAGTTGAACACAAGACATTTAAAACGCCTTGTACCGTATACACAAGCTGTTTTAGCATGATTAAAATACTGCGCTGCAGCTACTCGGACAAACATTAGGGAGAGCACACACAAGTGGACGCGACAGGCGAAATATGACAACCGAATATTATTTAAAAACAAAGCATCGTGGCAAAAATAACATGATGAAAAACATAAACAACTTACGATGACGCAGAAGACGACGATCTTGCCGAACTGTCCTTTCACGTTACACGTGGAGTGATTACCAGATGTGGTAATGACTCGTGAAAATGTTTTGTGAGTTGACTGGCCCCATCGTAAATTGTTCATTGCCTTTCGTCAAGTTTTTTTCTTTATTAAAGTTTTTTTCTTTAAAAGTCAGTTGATATTTTACACTTGTCCTGTCCAATTCATTTCGTGTGTCCTCCCTAACTGTTGTCCGAGCCTGTAGATGTAGCGCTGTTTTTTTTTTAATCGCGCTGAACCAGCAAGCCCGGAACTTGAATTCGCTAGTGTGTTAGCTAACCATTTCTGCATATTGCTCACGCTAATCCTGTGTGCCAGTTTCGCGCTTGAAGTAACAAATTAACTAGCTAAAAGAGGGACATCGGTAATGAAGTTCTTTGTTGTTTTCCAACAAGAATTGAGAAATATTGGATTGAGAAATATTGGCATGCTTGTGCAATTTCTACTCTTGGCCCTAGAGAGAGGAATATTTTTGTAGATTCATTATTGAAGTATATTTTGAAGAAGGCAACATGTTTATTTCTTACTACAACATTCAAATATAACAGCTTTACGAAAAGTGACGTCTGCGACAAGAGCAGACAGCAGGAGTAACCCAACAAAGAAAGCACATTTATTATAGCATTACTGATATTTAGTTTGTGGCACATCACACCATTGTTTTGAGCATGGTTATGTAGCGGTCTCACTTATAGTGAGTTAAAATCTATCTAATATATCCCGTGTTCAATCTCATAGCATTATGCTGGATACAAAATTATTGTTCTGTCTGTGATAGCCACTCGTATATCGAGACAAATTCCCAGCTGGTATTTGAAAATTAGTGTTTCAGAAGATATATATATATATATATATATATATATATATATATATATATATATATATATATATATATGTGTGTGTGTGTGTGTGTGTGTGTGTGTGTGTGTGTGTGTGTGTGTGTGTGTGTGTGTGTGTGTGTGTGTGTGTGTGTGTGTGTGTGTGATTCAACAAAAAAGTTCTGTGCGTACATATAGTCAAGAAATAAAGGAGCACACTTACGAAAATTGGATACTTTTTAACTTCACATTTCGGCCGTGGCACGGCCTTCGTCAGGATGAAGAGAAATACGAGTATGTGGCCGCTTTTATGGGCAAGCATGAACACGTGAGAACAAACCTCGTGCGATTAGCATATGAGAGTCACATAAGTCTTCAAAACAACCGCGACAACATTGAAAAAGCAATAGAAAAAATGTAATACATTACACAAGATCGTGAGCATGTAAAAATGCATTTGTAACATTGACCATTGACGACGATGACGCATAAAAATGTGTGATAACTTTTCGGAAGTAGACAATACGTTCAGGATGCTTCTTTAAGTATTTCGCGAAAATGCGGACGTCAGGGCATCGTAGAAAGGCATAAAACTTTGCCTACGCATTCGTTATTGCCGGATACCACATTATTTGAATTATTAATCAAGAAAGCTTCTCGAGTTTCGTGATGAAGCCTAATTCTGATAACGTCACCATATTCTTGTCAAACGAATGACCTGGTAGATGAAAATTCTTGGAAAATGGAAGATGTGGCAAACTGTTTACGCGTAATTTGTGATTGTTAAAACGAATACGAAAGGATGTATTGGTTTGACCGATGTGTTGTATGTGGCAGATTGAACATTCAAGTAAGGAAATTATGTTGCTGCTATCGCAGTTCAAGTACCGCTTAATCTTAAGTGAGAAGTTAGATGCCATGCTTTCAGTAACAGTTGCACCGTATACAAACTTTACATCGCGGTTTGTTACAGGGGTGACAACAAACAGAAGCAATGCATCTATATCTTGTCTTGAAGAAGTTACAATGTTGCGCAAGTTTCTTGATATCTGATATACAACTCGTGGTCATTCAGTGAAAATGTCATTAAGCCGATCACACTGTGTCGATAAGTGGTAATGCTTTCTGAGTATATGTGACACGTTAGGAATACATGCAGAATGCGTTAGAACGAGGTTTGTTCTTGAGGGTGGCGCTAATCGCTTGTCCTTACTGATGAGCTCTTCACGATCGAGACATGTGGACCGCTGGAGAGCGTCGTCGATTATTTGTGAAGGATATTGTTGTTCGGTTGATGCATTACGGAGCTGGTCACAGTTGCGAGTGAATTCCCTATTGTCCGAACAAATTCTTTTAAAACGGATAGATTGGCTACAGGGGATACTTGTTTTGCAGTGTTTGACATGGCTGCTTTTAAAATGAAGATATCTTTGTCGGTCAGTGGGCTTTCTGTAAAGGTTCGTCGTTAGTTTACCATTGCTTAAAGCTACATTGACGTCAGGGAAGTTTATGCTAACTGGTGAATAAGAGTGGGAAAAGGAGTATTGGTTCTATACGTTGTTGAAGTCAGCAACGGAAGAAAGTAATGCCGCTTCACGATGGTGACAAATTAGGAAAATGTCGTCAATGAAGCATTTGTTATAAAGTGGTTTAAGGTCACGAGTGGCGAGAAGATTATTTTCTAGAATGCCCATGAAGATGCTCGCATAATTGGGACCTATTTTTGGGCCATCAAGGTGCCGCTGGTTTGAACGTATTGATCACCGTTAAATTCAAAGTTGTTAAGCTCGAGTATCAGCGCTAAAATAGTGCCTCAGGTGGAATCGTCGATGGGTTTGTCATATACCGACTCACTGTATGCTTGAAGTACAGAACGAATCCCGTCCGCATGGGGAATATTTGTGTACAGTGACACCACATCTAGTGTGACCAAAAGATTACCCCTCGGAACACGCATATTTACAATGTCACGCAGAAAGTGGTTAGTGTCCTTGACATATCGAGAAAAGTCAGGAGGAATGGAACTAAATACGCTGTCTGCGCACAGGCTTTATGCGATGGTTCCTATTTCTGAAATTATTGGCCGGCTTGGATTGTTTTGTTTATGAATTATAGGAAGCAGATAAAATCTACCAGCTACCAGACTTGGGGGGACTAAGGATTTAAGCACAGTTTCTGGAATTTTCTTTTTTCTTACAAGCTCTTTTAAAGTTTCTTTAACTTTGGTCTTAAAGTCCTCAGTCGGGTCGTAGTTCAAATGTCTGTAAAATGCGTGGTCGTTCAATTGTCTGTGGGCCTCACGGAGGTAATCTGCCTTATTCATTATTACGATTGCTCCATTTTTATCAGCCGGTTTGATGACGATGTCGTCTCGGCAAGCCAGGGTGTGGACCGCTTGTTTTTCTTTGTCGCTTAGGTTGCGGTGAAGTGGCGATTGCTTTTTGTATGCTTCGAGTACATGTCGCTGCACTGTTAGGATGTAAATATCAAGATATTTATTCCTTTGGGAAGGGTGAGTCAAATGCTTAGTAGTAAAACACGCAGTTTTTATATAAGGAGGCCGATTATCAAAGTATTCGCGTAAACGCATGCTTCTTTCCAAATTGTGTAAGTCACTGATTAGTTGTAATTCACTGTATCCTCCAGTGGCAGGACAAAAGTTCAAATCACGGGAAAGAGCACTCAATTCCTCAGCCGATAACGCGGCACTACAGATATTCACTATTTTTCCAGCTTCTGTGGAGGACGAATGCACTGAAGACGTTGCGTCATCAGGGGTGCTGACGCTTGTGCAAATGTTATCGTGCATCAACTTTTTATATTTTTTGTCGCTGAGCTCGCGAATATTTTCTTGCCTGTAGTTATCAAGCGACGCTCTTTCATCGGCAGTGAAATTCCGCGTGGCAAAGAGTTGGTTCTTTTTGTTCCTTAGCTGTTTTCCGGATGACTCATAATGATTAGTGGCAATGCGCGTGAGCTCCGGAGAAGCTCTTTTGAGTGTGTTGTCCCAACTGGAGAGATTATTGCTAGTCATTTCAGACGTGGCAGGCCTTAAAGTAAGGCTTAAAGCTTTCGGTACTGTCGATGTAGCAATATACATTTTTAATGTGGAAGCATGCAGGTTGCAGCGAACACTTCCAATTACTTTTCTAAGCTTCGAAAAATGCACAGAGGCATCCCCAAAGGGAGTCTTACCCCGGCTAGGTGGTAGTCAGGCGGTTTCTTGGGTAGGATCAGGTCGTTTGTTCCTGAATTAGTACCTTGACTGGGACAGTGTAGCTCCGCTGGGAGGCGGAGAAGCTGCTGCTGTTGCCTTGCTGCTCACTGGATTGTTCGCCACACTGTTAAAAGTCGCTGCGTTGTCTGTCATCGTCGTGGTTGTCGTCGTCCTTGCCAGTGTCTTATTTCTCGTTGCCAGGCTGGTCATTGCGTTGGTTGAAGGTACACAGCTTGGCGACGTCTTTTTTATTGGTATCAACTTGTTCACTGCCTCTCTAGCCGTGGTCTTGTTCTCGGAATCCCTGCTGGTCGATGGCCGCCTTGTAGTTGGCTTGCTTGTCGCTGTCCTGCTTGCATATGTGCTGTTTGCCGTTGTTGCACTTGTTCGGCTTGTCGCTGAGCGAACTTTTATCGCTTCGATACCACTTGGTGGGCCCTGCCGCGGTGGTCTAGTGGCTAAGGTACTCGGCTGCTGACCCGCAGGGCGCGGGTTCGAATCCCGGCTGCGGCGGCTGCATTTCTGATGGAGGCGGAAATGTTGTAGGCCCGTGTGCTCGGATTTGGGTGCACGTTAAAGAACCCCAGGTGGTCTAAATTTCCGGAGTCCTCCACTACGGCGTCTCTCATAATCATATAGTGGTTTTGGGACGTTAAACCCC